ATGTTGTATAGAATGTCAGGGTTCTTAAAGGGCGGGATTAGTATGTGTTTAAGAGCCTTGACTCTGGAAGCTGACTGTGTCTCGGCTTTGCTGTACACTAACCACGAGAAAGTTGCTTAAACACTCAGGTGTCTCTGGTTCATCATCTGTAAAATGTTAAAATTGTTGTGAGGATTAATGAATGAATATATGTGAAATACTTAATGCCTGGAGCTTAATAACTGTGTAGGTATTGCTGCTGCTGCTGCAGAGGCTGCAGTGGCTCTGGCAGACTCTGCTACTGCTCTTCTTCCCCCTTTTTCTTGTTATTCTACTATTGATACCACTTTAGTTATTATTGAAAAGATCTTCCAAGAGTTACTAAAATCCTTTGGTGACTTGGTCTCAAGTAACATTGCATATGTGCCTGGAAAGTACCCCGGAATAGAAATCTAATGTAGAAATATTCCTAAAGCTGCAAAGAAATTTATAACCATTGATTCCCTGCTCTGTCATATTTACTACCTAAAAGCAATATATAAAATGCTATGGAAAATGAACTGTAACTTTTTTGGTAAATATTATATACAGGTACATTTATACAAAACTTAGCATAGTATTGTTTTTGAGTGATCATTTTAGAGCTGAAGATCAAGAATGAAATGTATAGCTTACATGCAGTAAAAATGAAGAAGTGCACAAACTCACTTTAGAAGTTGGATTTTGTGGTCGGGCACAGTGGCTCATACCTGTAATCCCAGCATTTGGGGAGGCTGAGTTGGGTGGATCATGAGGTCAGGAGTTTGAGACCAGTGTGGCCAATATGGTGAAACTCCATCCCTACTTAAAAAAAAAATAAAATAAATAAAATAATAGAAAAATTTGCTGGATGTGGTGGCCTATGCCTGTAAGTCCCAGCTACTTGGGAGGCTGAGGCAGAAGAATTGCTTGAGCTCAGGAGGTGAAGATTGCAGTGAGCCAAGATTGCGCCACTGCACTCCAGCCTGGGTGACAGAGCGAGACTCCATCTCACACACACACACAAAAGAGGTTTAATTTTGTTGTTGTTGTTATTGTTCAACTAATTTGCACATGTGTGAGGTTAACTAAGATAACTTTATAGATACAGGCTTGCTGGGTTGGAAAATATGCTCACTGTAAATTTATGTAGACAACTGATAACTCGCACTCCAAGGAGGTTTTGCAGAATTGCATTTCAGGGGCTTTTCCCACCACCGCCACCTCTCCCCAGCATATTGTCTTCCAGGCCCATGGAGAAAACCTGCTGTAGTGAGTGGGCCTCCAGTGATGATGGGTATCCCTCAAGTGAGTTACAGCAGAAGACAGCAGAAAACTACAGACTTAGTGCCTTCCTCCCCACAGCCTGTCACTCTAAATTTTCTTCTTTCTTATATCCTTGGATTTTATTAAAAGTTGTCATAACGAACTACCACGTTAAATGGGCTTCCATGTTAACAGTGTAACAGCAGTTGAGGACGTTGCCCTCATGTTGGTCGGTGCCCCATAACAAAACGCCCCTTCTCAGAAATCTCTTTTAGAATTTTGTATCAGGAAACACTGTTTCTTCTTAACAAACTAATTTCCTTCCTATTTTTTATTTTTATTTTTTATTTTTCTGAAAGAAATCTAACTGATTTCTTTCCTATTATTTTTAGAAGTGCTTTATTGGGATATGATTTACATATCATACATTTCTCCTATTTAAAGTTCACAATTCATTGATTTTTAGTGTATTTATAGAGTTGTGCAACCATCACTGCAATCAGTTTTACAATGTTTTCATCATCTCCCTGCCAAAAAACCTCATGCTCAAGAGCAGTCACTCCTCATTTTCCTCTCATTAATTCACCCTTTCCTCCAGGACTAGGCAATGATAAGTAAGTCTACTCTCTAATTCTATAGATTTGCCTATTTGGGACATTTCATATAAGTCAATACTGATAATGTGGATTTTCATGTCTGGCTTCTTTCACTTAGCCTAATATTTTCAAGGTTTATCCATGTTGTAACATGTTTCAGCAATTTGTTCCTTTTTATGGCAGAACAATATTCCATTATATATATACATTACACTTTATTTACCCATTCATCAGGAGATGAGCATTTGAGTTGTTTCCACTTCTTAGCTATTGTAAGTAATGCTGCTATAAACTTTATGTCAAATTATTGTTTCATTTCTCTTGGATGTATACCTAGGCATGTAATTACTGGGTCTATGCTAACTGTTACATTTAACAGTTTGAGCAACTTCCACACTGTTTTCCAAAGCTACTATATCATTTTGCTTTCCCATCAACACTATTTGAGGGTTTCTATTTCTCTACATCTTTGCCAACATTTGTTCTTACCTATTTTCTTTTTTTAATTGTAGCCTTCATTATAGATATGAAGTGATATTTCATTGTGGTTTTAATTAGCATTTCTCAAATGACTAATGTTGTGAGCATTTTTTCGTGTGCTTATTGGTAATTTGTATATCTTCTTTGGAGAAATGCCTAGTTAGACACTGTGGCTATTTTTTAATTGTTTTTGTTTTCTTTTTATTATTGCATTGTTATGAGTTCTTTATATCTTCTAGATTTAAATCCCTTATAAGATACCTGATTTGTGAATGTTTTCTCACATTCTGTGGGCTCTTATTTCACTTTCTTGATAGGTCTTTTGCCGCACAAAAAAGTTATCATTTTGATGAAATTCAATTTATCTCTTTACTTCTTTTGTTACTTTTGCTGTCATAGTTTTGTCTAAATCAAAGTCACAAAAACTTACTCCTATATTTTCTTCTAACAGTTTTAACTCTTACATTTAACTCTGATTTGTTTTGAGTTGTTATTTATATATGGTGTGAGGAAAAGTTCCAGCTTCATTCTTTTGCATTTGAATATCCAATTGTCTCAGCACTATTTGTCAATAAAAAACTTTTTTTATCTGGGCATGATGGCTCATGCCTGTAATCCCAACGCTTCAGAGGCCAAGGCTGGTGGCTCCCTTGAGGCCAAGAGTTTGAGACCAGCCTGGCCAACATGATGAGACCCTGTCTCCACAAAAAAATTAGCCAGGCATGGTGGTACATGCCTGTAATCCCAGTTCTTCGGGAGACTGAGGCACCAGAATCATTTGAACCTCAGAGGTGAAAGATACAGTAAGCCAAGATTGTGCCACTGCACTCCAGCCTGGGCAGCAGAGCAAAACTCTGTCTCAACAAAACAAAGAAAAACGCTTTCTCTCCCTGTTGAATTGTTTGGCACCCTCTTGTCAAGAATCAGTTGACCATATATGCAAGAGTTTATTTCTGTAATCTCTATGATATTTCTGTGTCTATCCTTATGCTAATACCACACTGTTAATTACTGTAGCTTTTTCCTTTCCAATCTGATACTTTTTATTTACTTTTTCTTTCTCAATTTCCCTGGATAGAACCTACACTTCAATGTTAAATAGAAGTGGTGAGAGTGGACATCCTTGTCTTATTCCTAATCTTTGGGTGAAAAGCATTCAGTCTTTTACCATTGAGTGTGATATTAGCTGTAGCTTTTTCACAGATGCCCTTTATTAGGTTGAATACATTTTCTTCTGTTCCTACTTTGTTGAATGCTTTTTTATTCAAGGATGTTGGATTTTTGTCAGATGCTTTTTCTCAGTCTGTTTAAGTGATCATATAGAGTTTTGTCCTTTATTTTGTTGATATGGTCTATCAGTAATTGATTTTGGGGATGTTAAGCCATCCTTGCATTTGTGGGGTTGATTCTACTTGGTGATGGTGTGCAGTCCCTTCTTTATGTTACTGGATTTAGTTTGCTAGTATTTTGTTGAGGTTTTTTGTGTCTATATTCATAACATTTTGGTTTGTAATTTTCTTGCAATACTTTGATTTTGATATTAGAATAATACTGACCTATTAGAATTAGTTGGGAGGTGTCCTTTTTTTTTGTTTTTTCTTTTGGTTGTTGTTTGTTTTTGGTACAGTTTGTGAAACATTGGCTTTAATTTTTCTTTAATTGCTTGGTAGAATTCACCGGTGACACCATCTAGTCCTGAGCTGCTCTCTCTCTCTCTCTCTCTCTCTCTGTGTGTGTGTGTGTGTGTGTAAAGTTTCAATTACTTTATGTATTTTTTACAAATCTGTTTAGATTTTCCATTCCATCCTAATTCAGTTTTTGTAGTTTGTGTTTTCCTGGAATCATTTGTCCATTTCATCTAGGTTATCAAATTTGTTGACATATATTCATTGATATTATTCTCTTATAATCCTTTAGGCCTGTAATAATGTTTCTTTCTTGCATTCTTGACTTAGTAATTTGAGTCTTCTTTTTTTGTTAGTGAATCTAGCTAAAGGTTTGCAAGTTTTATTGAGCTTTTTGATAAACTACTTTTGGTGTCCTTGATTCTGCATTATTTTTCTATGCTTTGTTTCATTAATTTCCACTCTAATCTTTATTATTTCCTTCCTTCTGCTTCCTTTTGATGTAGTTTGCTGTTTTTCATCCACTGTCTTAAGGTGGAAAAATGGGTTATTGAATTGAGATTTTTTTCTTCTGTTTAATATAGGCATTTATAGCTATAATTTTTTCTATGAACATTCTTTTACCCACATCCCATTAATTTTAGCATTTGTCTTTATTTTCATTCATCTCATCAGAAAATATATTAAAATATATTTTCTCATTTCCCTTTTGATTTATTATTTGACCCATTAGTTATTTAATAGTATGTTTTCATTTCCACATGTGTGAATTTATAAAATTTCTTTCTGTTACCGATTCCTAATTTCATTATCTTGTGGTCAGTGAATATACTTTTTACGATTTCAGTCCTTTTCTAAATATTGAGACTCATTTTAGAGCCTAGTATGTGGTATATCCTGGTGGAGGTTGTTTCATGTACACTGAGAAAAGTGTATATTCTACTCTTGTTGAGAGGAGTATTTTCTAAATGTCTAGTTGGTTTCTAGTGTTATGCAAACGCATTTTCAATAATGTCATTCCCCTTCTTTTTTTCAGCTGATGAACTAATCAGTCCTAAAGACATTGATCCTGTCCAGCGCTATGTCCCACTACAGAATCAACGTAACGTGAGCATGAGGTTTTCCAATCAGGTAAAGAGATACTGTATTTCTTAAGTAGGACTCGTCCAAAGTCCAAAGACATTTAAGCTTAATTGAAGAGGATATTCATGTTCTGAATATGTTTTGGTTGTTCCTTCTGAAGGAAAGCCTTCTCCTTCTGGTTAGTTAAGATTTACTTGTGATAAAGGATTATTTGTTAATGAGGAAGTAAGTTTCAGGTGGGTCCACCAAAGTGCCTTCCAGGTAAACATTTCCACCTTCAGAATGTTGAGTTTAAGGTGTCAATTGTCTTTGAGAAGAAGCGGTGGATTTGCATAGCAGGAGGAGTGAGATTCCCCGAAAGGCCTTGTGCTTGATGTCTCTCCTGCTCTGTGGCTCCTTCACAAGGCTGCATGACTGACACAGTTGTTACAGCAACAGTGACTTGGTGACATGTTGGAGAAGGAACAGTTTTAAAATTTTTACATTTAGTAGCTGTGGATTCAGACGGTGTTGTATCAACAAAATAAGTGTTTGTAGGATCAGCAGGATTGATATTGACTTGAGCAAACCCTCAAGTATTAAATGACACCAGTAATGAGGACTGTTAAAATGAGAATGTTGTGGATTGTGGAAACTGCCTGAGGAGAAAGAGAATGAACCTGTGTGTGTGCCTGGGATTCTAAACAGTTAACATGCATTTAATAAGAATGGCATCAGTGCTTACAGAAGATAGGCTTACAATTGGAAATTCTCCTTATATTAAAAAAATGCAAATACATATTACACACACACACACACACACACACACACACACACAGCAGTAGGTGCTTGTTTCAATAAGAAAGGGAGAGCCAGTGGCCCCATTAGGTTCTATTACACTGTTTCTCTGACTCTTTTGCTGGTCTTCAACAAAACATGTAATGACTCTGAGTTGTTTATGGATGAGAAGCTATTTGAGAGACTTATAAATAAATGCTGTGGTTTTGTCAAGAACATAAAATTCCTGTGTTAATATATGGTGGGAATTTCTCACTGGCCTGGTAGCTCCTTATGTAAGGGGTGATTTGGCCTTTATCTTACCGGTTGTATTGGTACAACTGGCAAAATTGTTCTCAGCATTTGGTGACGTGTTGGGGAAGGAATAGTTTTTAAGTTTTTGCATTTTGTAGCTATTTATTCAGACTGTGTTGTGTCAACAAGTGTTTGTAGGTGCAGTGCAGGTGTACAGTCTATACCAATTTGAAATACGCCATTTTACTTGAAGACATAGCAAAATAGGGAATTCATCCAACTCATATTACCAGTGCTGTGACTGAGCCATTTTGAGACTAATGTGTATCACTAAAATAGTATTTCACATGTCTGACCCACTTCTCTGGAGTGATGAAACCTCAAAGCCTTTTCTTAAGATAATAAAGTAATAGATCACAGATTTGAGGTGTGAGGACAGGAGCCAGAGAACATCAAAGCATTTCATAGGCATATGGCTAACAGAATCATCAGTTTAAACAGTTGTTTCATGCTTGACACATATAATGATGGCTGTGGGTTATGTGTAAATTTTGGTGTACTGTATACCACCTGCAACTCCTTCTCTCCTGCTCAGGAAAGCTTATCAGGATATGAGTGACAGAGAGTGAATTTTAAAGAGGATTCACTCTACAGGAATTTTTTATATTAAAATTACTTTGTATTGCTGCTACTGAATTATCTGTCATGCCTCCCAATTGGCGAAATGCTTCTCTCCTATAGCCATTGGTAGATTACCTCTGTGCAGTGTTGTATAGTTTCTGAGCAGGAGGTGATGGGGAGATTCACAGCATAAAACTACTGGAATGGATATGTCCCCACGCAGTTGGCAGCTTGGTTGTGGTGGTATGTAAAGTACTGAAGCTGCCTTGCCACTTTCTCAGCCATTTTAAGCAGTAGGAAAAGCCTGGCATGCCCATGTCTGTTCCCGGGGCTGGGTGACATGGACTGATGAAATAGAGGAGTCAGATATATCCGCAGATGCACAGCCCTCTGTTTGAAATGTTGGTGTCAGTAGCCACTTAGATGATTGACCAGGTCAGATTTTGTAACTAACTGGTCTGTGGGAATTCACTAGGTGCTTTAAACCCTGATACAAGTTAGGAAAGTAAATAGGAAGTGGTTTACTACTACAAGCATTTCTGAAAATGGTAGAAGTGCTTGCCCTCCAAAGAAGGTATGTCAGGGATCCCATGACTACCCTCAGCCACTAGAATTCACTGGAGGATTCACAGAACCCAGAAGCTGTTACACTTACACATAGGGTTGATTATTGTGAAAGGATACAGAATAAAATCAGCAAAGGGAAAAGGCACATGGGGCAAGTCCTGAGGAACCTTGGCACAGGCTTCCAAGTGTCTTCTTCCAGTGGAATCACATGAAATGCACTTAATTACCCTAGCGAGGATGTGTCAACACATGCACAGTGTTGCCAACCAGGGAAGCTTGCTCAAGCTTCTTTGTGTATAGATTTTACTAAAGGTCAGCTATGTAAGCTTGCAGCATCTCAATTGTTTAAGCACCAGCCCCCACCCCCCACCCGCCTCTCCCGATGTCCACCATAAATCACATTGTTACTGCAAACTCTCTGGGCAGACTTGTACAATGTAGCCCAGGGCCTCAGTCATGCAGAACACGCTTATCACCTTGTGAGCCTCTTACTTTTTCTCAAATGTTTTCTGTTTCTTTATTTTTGGCTCTATTTTACAATTAATTACATTTTATTAAAAATTTTGTGTAACTACCACCATAGTCAAGATACTTAATTGTATCATCCCATGTCACCATTAGGCTTCCTTGTGTTCCTCCTTTGTAACCACACTAACTTCCTTCACCCCAGTTCTTAATCCCTTGCAACTACTAATATGCTTTTTATTTTATAATTTTGGCATTTTAAGAATATTATAAAAATTGAACTGTGTCTACGCTTTGGGATTGACTTTTTTCACTCAACGTAATTTCCATGAGATTCATCTAAGTTGTTGCATGTATCAACAGTGTATTAGTCCGTTCTCACACGACTATAAAGAAATACCTAAGACTGGGTAATTTATAAAGAAAAGAGGTTTAATTGGCTCATGGTTCTGCAGGGCTGTACAGGAAGCATAGCAGCTTCCATGCTTCCAGGCTTCTGGGGAAGCCACAGGGAGGTTTTACTCATGGAGAACGGCAAAGGGGGAACAGCCATCTTATATGGCAGGAGCAGGAACAAGAGGGCGAGAGGGAGGAGCTACACAATTTTATTTATTGATTGATTTTTATTATGCTTTTAATTCTGGGATACATGTGTGGAACATGCAGGTTTGTTATGTAGGTATACACATGCCATGGTGGTTTGCTGCATCCATCACCCCGTCATCTACATTAGGTATTTCTCCTAACGCTATCCCTCCCTTTATCCCCCCACCTTCTGCTCTCCCTCCCCTAGACCCCCAGCCCTCCGACAGGCCCTGGTGTGTGATGTTCCCCTCCCTGTGTCCATGCGTTCTCATTGTTCAGCACCCACTTATGAGTGAGAACATGTGGTGTTTGGTTTTCTGTTCTTGTGTCAGTTTGCTGAGAATGATGGTTTCCAGCTTTATCCATGTCTCTGCAAAGAAGATGAACTCATCTTTTTTATAGTATTTGCATAGTATTCCATGGTGTATCTGTGCCACATTTTATTTCTCCAGTCTATCATTGATGGGCATTTGGGTTGGTTCCAAGTCTTTGCTATTGTGAACAGTGCCACAATAAACATACATGTGCATGTGTCTTTATAATAGAATGATTTGTAATCTTTTGGGTATATAGCCAGTAGTGGGATTGCTGGGTCAAATGGTATTTCTAGTTCTAGATCCTTGAGGAATCCCCACATTGTCTTCCATAATGGTTGAACTAATTTACACCTCCCACCAACAGTGTAAAAGCATTCCTATTTTTCTGCATCCTCTCAGCATCTGTTGTCTCTTGATTCTTTTAATGATCACCATTCTAACTGGAGTGAGATGGTATCTCAATGTGGTTTTGATTTGCATTTCTCTAAGGACCAGTGATGAAAGCTTTTCTCATGTTTGTCGGCCGCATAAATGTCTTCTTTTGAGAAGTGTCTATTCATATCCTTTACCCACTTTTTGATGGGGTTGTTTTTTTTTTCTTTTTCTTTTTCTTTTTAATTGCATTTTAGGTTTTGGGATACATGTGAAGAACATGCAAGATTGTTGCATAGGTACACGTGGCAGTGTGATTTGCTGCCTTCCTCCCCTTCACCTATATCTGGCATTTCTCCCCATGCCATCCCCCTGCAACTCCCTACCCCCCACTGTCCCTCCCCTATTTCCCTCCAACAGACCCCAGTGTGTAGTGCTCCCCTCCCCATGTCCATGTGTTCTCATTGTTCAACACTCTCCTATGAGTGAGAACATGTGGTGTTTGATTTTCTGCTCTTGTGTCAGTTTGCTGAGAATGATGGCATCCAGGTTCATCCATGTCCCTACAAAGGACACGAACTCATTTTTTATGGCTGCGTAATATTCCATGGTGTATATGTGCCGCATTTTCCCTGTCCAGTCTATCATCGATGGGCATTTGGGTTGGTTCTAGGTCTTTGCTATTGTAAACTGTGGTGCAATGAACATTCATATGCATGTGTCCTTATAGTAGGATGATTTATAATCCTTTGGATATATACCCAGTAATGGGATTGCTGGGTCAAATGGAATTTCTCTTTCTAGCTCCTTGAGGAATCGCCACACTGTCTTCCACAATGGTTGAAGTAATTTATACTCCCACCAACAGTGTAAAAGTGTTCCTATTTCTTCACATCCTCTCCAGCATCTGTTGTTTCCAGATTTTTTAATGATCACCATTCTAACTGGCGTGAAATGGTATCTCAATGTAGTTTTGATTTGCATTTCTCTAATGACCAGTGATGATGAGCATTTTTTCATGTTTGTTTGGCCTCATGTATGTCTTTTGTAAGTGTCTGTTCATATCCTTCGCCCACTTTTGAATGGGTTTGTTTGTTTTTTTCTTGTAAA